ATGTTAATTTACTATATTTGTTTCAATGATTTCAGAAAGTTGTACTAATTATGTGCTTAATTTATAATTACGATTGTAAATATTCTTTGTAATTTTGATATTTTTTATTTTGAATAAAATTAGTTACTTAAAAAGATTGTAATATAAATTTGTACACTTTTACATTACATTTTCCATCCTTATTGCTTATTGCATACTTTATTGAATACAATAGAAGTTTTTAAATGAGCTTTAGCTTGTTGCTATCAAATTTGATTATAGATAAGACTAACATTTGAACAAAAATTACAGATAAAATGTATTTTTTAATCCATATAATTGATGTAATGGAAATCTAATTTAAAGTAATATGAAAAGATTTTTTTATGTTCCATAAATAATTGGGTAAATTATATATTTAATATTTAAACTATTAGTTGTAGTCCGTTTTTAATACCTAAAATTTATTTTCTAATTATATCTGAAGTTTTATTTTTATTTTATGTTAGTATCTCAATATTAAAAAACATAACGTAGTTTGTATCTAAACTATCAATTTAGGTTTATTTTAATATTTAAACTTTAATTTTTTTTAACATAATGTTAAGTTTTGGGTTGCGCTAAAATAAAACAAAACTAAATTTTTTAACATGTGATATTAAAATGAAATAAAATCTAAATTTTATTTATAGTTTTGAAAAAAATTAAAGTTTAAATATTAAAATAGATTAAAATTAATAGTTTATATGCCAAACTTGTAATTTACCCTCAATAATTTTCGATAAAATGTTTTTTTATCAACAAAAGTGGATATAGGTAAGTTTGGTCCGAAATTGAAAATCCTAACAATCAGCCCAATCTTCATTCGTGGAGGAGAATAGAGAGTGGCGGCAAAAGATGCAGATATTCGTGAAAACCTTAACCGGCAAAACCACTAACTCTCGAGGTCGAGAGCAGCGTCACCATTGATAATGTCAAAGCCAAGATTCAGGACAAAGAGGGTAATTTTCTCCCATTGCTTTTGTCTTTTCTTCTTCAAATTATTTAAATTTCACTTTTAGAAACACGAATCGATCATTTTACATAATTTTTCAACTTTGATATGAACTAGCAGGGATTCCGCCGGACCAGCAACGTCTTATTTGCCGGAAAACAGCTTGAAGATGGCCGTACCTTGGCCGGTTACAACATTCTGAAAGGTTTCTATTCTTTTTTCAGTAACGTTTCTGTGTTTTTGATTTGATTGTGTTACTTAATATCTTTTCTGGATTTTTGTTTATGTCGACATAGAATCAACGATTCATCTTGTTCTGAGGTTGAGGGGTGGAATTATTGAGCCTTCTTTAATGGCCTTGGCTCGAAAATACAATCAAGACAAAATGATTTGCCGCAAGTAAGTTCCTCCTTCATTTCTATGTTTTATACTATGAACGTTCTTTAGTTTTTGTTAAGGCCAGCCATGAATAAATTGAACACACCACTATTACACGAACACGCAATATAGTAGCAGCACAGCAATTACACATGTGAATGAATAATAAACTGCAACCATGACATGCGTGCATAAATGGGTTTGAAATACACACATTGTTAGGGAGCCTGACAATACATAACACGGCTCTATTATATGCACAAGTAGGACTGTAAATGAGTTGAGCTCGACTCAACTCGAAAATTCTAAAATGGAGCTCGACTCGAAAACTTGTGAGCCTAAAATCTTCAAGCTTATCCCAAACTTGAAACCATGAGTTAAGTTTAAAAAAGCTTGAAATGAAAAAAAATCTTAAACTTAACTTGATTACCTCAAACTTAATTTGAACCTTAAATACATGAAAACTTTATATTGCATTTAAAAAAAAATCAAGACAAATGTTAATATTATTAATATTTTTTTATAAAAAAGTAAAATCTTAATATATTATATTTTCGGGATGCTCTGCGAGCTTTTTGAGTCGAGTATCAAGTAGCTTGTTTCGGCTTGTTAAGAACTTGAGTCGAGTCCATTCGAATCGAGTATTTATCGAGCTTTGACTGAGTCGATTTCGATAAGCTCACGATCTGTCTCGTCTCATTTACACCTTTATGCACATGAGTAACTGAAACACGAGTGTGACATGAATACTCAAACAGGCTCTCATATATGTTAAGTGCACTTTGCTTAGCCTCTTATGTTTATTTTAAATGGGATAGAGGTCATACGAGGTCGGGAAAGTGGATGTTAAACCATTCCTCAACTTTGTCGGCTTGTCTAATTTTGCAGGCAGTTGGTTTAGTGATATGCACAGTGAAAAGTTCCAAGCATTTTTTCCATTGGTTTTTATATTTGGTGTATGTGAACAACGGGACTACAAGTTGAACCCTCTTTTGAAGTAGAAGGATGAAAAAGAGGGCATCCTAGTTCCCAAAATGAAAATTTCCATTCGTTATTTTGTCAACTGATCTAAACTTCACTTGCAGTTGATTTTCAAGGGTGGTACATAATAATGCTTTGCTTGTTTCTTTAAGATTTGTTCTCTCTAATTGTTTTGGGACTCGATTTCGAAACCCTTTGTGTATTGTGAGGTGTTTTTATTGAGACTTAGCTTATATTAAGAGAATTTGAGTGAATGATATGACATGGAGGGTCTATTGGCAAGAATTACCAAACTGGATGTTGCTCTATTTTCTTAATAGATGGCAAAACAAACCCGAACTCGAACACTCAAGGGAATCCAGATCCCCTTAAATCTGATATGATCGAAAGCCAAAATTCTTAAACCCGAAATGCTAACTTGCACCGTGAATCATTGAAATTGATGTACCTCATTTCTGTTTTCTAGGTGCTATGCTCGGCTGCATCCTAGAGCTGTGAACTGTCGCAAGAAGAAATGTTGTCATAGCAACCAGGTTCGTATGCGTGTGCTGTATTTGCGGTTCTACTTCGACGCAGTGCTCTAAATATTAATTTCCCTTTTGCAGTTGAGGCCAAAGAAGAAGATCAAGTGAGCCATGACTATGGTGGTTATTTCATCTGCTTCAAAGAACTTGAATACAGAACTTGTCAAAAAATTTCCATTTGGTTCTTTGCTTTTCTATTTTTCTTTGATATCTAATATCTTGATATTGCCGTTGTTGGAAATTTCGAGTCATAATTGAGGTTCATACATACACTTTTGACTATGTTGGCCGGTTTTTCTTTATGGATTTTCAATATTTTCAAAGTTCTTCATTGGAAAGTATTTAGTTGTAATCTCAATTAAACAAATTTATCATACAACATACTTAATCATAATGTGCTAAAGAAATATGACATGAGTAGGGATGGACATGGGTCGGGTTGCGTTATTTTTTTGGTCCACCCGACCTGACCCGACCTGAGACAAGGAATCCTGCACCCAAGACTCGACCTGACCCAAACAAAACAAGATTCTACTCGACCCAAACCTGAATAATATATAACTTAAAAATCTGACTCGATCCGATCCGAAATAATAAAAAATATTATTTTTATTCAATAAAAATAGTGGTTTAATTGAAAATATATATATATATAGAGGGGTATTATTGTAATTATTCTTAAAATTATAAGGTAAAATTATATATTTTCTTCGGATTTGATCGGGTATTTTTTAATCCTAAATTTAAACCCGATCCGAACATCATATTAAAAAAAAAAACAACCCGACTCGAAACTAGAATTTATAAAAAAATCTTTTATCGGGTCGGATTGAATTAGAACATGTCGGGTTTGGATCCCATGCCTATCCCCAGAATGAGTAGATCATTTGTACATATGACTTGTTTCAATCTTCAAGAATTCGCCTTACATTTAACTGTACAACCACTTCGGTCCTTGTTGGACTCGTAATAAATATATGTAAGTGGGACTCATTAAATTTAGGGTAAAATATACATTTAGTACTTAAATTATATGTTTTTGTTCATTTTCGTACATAAACTTTTAATTTTTTCAAAATGATACTTAATGTTTTCATTTTATTTTAGTATTTCACTGTCAAAAACTTAATACATTAAGTTCACTTTCTATCATTCATAAATTTCCTCCAATAACTATAACAATTACCTCATTTTATTATCTCATATCGTTGTTTATACCAACAATTTTTTATTAATCATTTTTCTTATATCATTAGTTATACATTAACAGTTCTGGATAAGACATCTTAATATAAATAGTTTACATAAACTAAATGAATTTTCATTACATATTACAAATAAAAAGTAGACTTACGAAACTGGGGCCAAGAACATTAATTCCATTGCGAATGGATCATGAAACAACTATAACAACAATTGGTTATTAATAAGAAAGACAATCTTGAGAAGATAGCATCAACAGCGTGCTCGGTCTAGTGGTATGATTATTGCTTCGGGTGTGAGAGGTCTGGAGTTCGTTTCTTGATTCACCCCTCTCTTTGTTTTTTTCTCTGGGATAATAAGTCCTTCGCCCCTGTGCTTTTTGGTCCTTTGAGATTTAATCCTTCAATATGGACTTCTAATTTTCCAACCAATATTTAAATGCTGTTTACAAGTCCAAAAAAAGTTCATTAACATTTTTTTTATTAATTTGTGGGGTAAGTACAAGGCAGTATCTGTTCAAAGAAAACTCTTAATCTTTTAACATTGAATGCTCACATCTCTGGCATCTATGATGTTTGAACCCGAGTCCTCTATGAATAGCAACAATTCCTTTACCGCTGTTGAAAATTAAAAATAAAAAATCATGGTCAAAGGAGAAAACAAATAAGGAGAAATGATTTTTCAGAAAAGTCTGACAGCCAAAATGTCATTAGGTCAGTTGTTAAAACATAAGGACTAAGTTGTTGAAATCGAAAGGAGAGGGATTAAATGTAATGATTCGAAGTGTACAGGGGTTGTGAACAGATTAAACCTATATTGAAGCCTTTCATGTTGAATTAAAGCATGGTAAAATACCTATTTAAGTCCTTACCAAACGGCATACAGAAATTGTCGTTTTAAATGCTCCCAGTCCCACGCTGCTTTTCCCTCCATAATTTCATTTTGCCGCCATCAAGACCTCACTCTTGCTTTTCAAAGCATTATTCTATTTATTACATAAACCCTAAATCCTATAATTCAGAACAAAAGGGTAGAAGAATCCTCGTTTCTGAGTCAGGTAATTTTTCTAGACTATACTCTGTGTGTTTCCTGAGAAAATCATTGAAACTTCTTATGAAATTTCTTTTTTCTTTCAGATTTCTCATCAATTTACTGTCCACCGTCATCGACTCTCACTAAACCTCACTACAAGTGTGATTCGGTACGTTCTACATCACAACCTTTTCTTAATGATGTTCACGATGAACAAATACGAGTAGATCCGGCTGAATTATGACGCACTGTTGATTATTATTTATTTAATTTCCATTTCGTGGAAATGACTTTGTGAAATGAGTAGATCCGACTGAATTAATGAACTGTTAATTAGTTTGACCTTCGATAAACTTGCTGACTATTCCTGAATGTTCCTCGTCTTAGATTTTCGAATGATTGTAAAAGATAGGAGAATAGATTGTTGATTATGCTTGGATTTTCCCTATTAGGATTGAATTTTGATGTAATTAGTTGGGTCAAGCTCCATTTTGAATCTACGTGTTTAGCCTTTTGGTTTTAGTGGAACGTTGTTGGAAATTGCTTTTGATATTGGTGAAATGAATTGATTTATTTATCGGTCTTTTCGTATTTGTTTTGCAGGATATGGATATTTCAAGCCCTGCAGCTTTTGTTAATGGAGGACTGTTACGGATGCACCTGGGACGTAGGGTTCGAACCGTGCTTCAGGTTACCCAGTCTGATATTGCTTCCGCGATGGGAAAGTCTCCGGATGGTTACCAGCTTGTTGCAAAAGGCTCTCCACCTGTTCCTCTTTCAAGTTATGTTGAGGTTGTTGGTGTTGCTGAAAATGAAAATACCATCCAAGCTGAACTGTGGACCAACTTTGGTGACACATTTGGTAATCTTTCTTCTCCATATGAAAATCTTGGTCTATTTTAACATTGCAAATGTCACAATTTTTACATAGAGGTCTGCACTTTAGGCTTTTGGGTATCACATCTACTTGGAGTTTCAGTTTGATATTAGGACAATCACTTCTACATGTTTTATATATAGTTTATTGGGGCAGCTGAATCAAAACAGTAATTGATAAATGTCTCTGGTTTGCTTTCTGAAAACATTTGCCTGTTTTCACAATTTTGATGTGGTAACTTGCGCAGAAGATAAGTGCTGGCTGATTAACATGATATGTCACGGCCCGCCGACTGAAAATATGCTATTATTCCTTTGGATAAACTACACATTTAGTATCTAAATTATCAGTTTTAGTACTTAAACTTTCAATTTTTTCAAAATCATACTTAACTTTTAGTTTTTGTTTTATTTTAGTATTTTGTTGTTAAAAACTTGACATGTTTAGTACCTAAATTATAAGTTTTGGTTCTTTTTAGTTCCTAAATTTTTAATTTTTTTCAAAACTTAACGTTAAATTTTGAACCGGTATTAAAATGAAACAAAAACTAAACTTTAGGTATGGTTTTAAAAAAAATTAAAAGTTTAGGTATTAAAACATACCAAAACTAATAGTTTAGATATTAAATGCGTAATATACCCTATTCTTTTTGGGTGTGCATCTGCTCGTTTGTCATGTTTGAACCCAAAATATCCCAAAGAACTCTTGTATGTAGGACGTCTTGGGTTCAAACTTGTGTTCTCGATGCGTGATGAAATTGTGTATCAAGTGTTCATTGCATGCCATATGTGATTGTTGAACTAAAATTATATATTGCCTTGGGTCTGTCTGAAGTTCGAGCTATATCACTCGGCCTTTGAAGCCATATTCCTTGACATTTTCAATAATGGCAGATGCATCCAGCTATGATCAACTCTGTCAGCTAGCAAATGGAGAGTTCAAACACCTATTCCTCTAGTTTGCACATTTTCTTTATCAGAAGAAAGCTTCTAGGTAAACAATCTACTTGGCACTCTATGTCATATAAATAGGTAGAATTTTATATGATAGAACATGCTCATTCTAGTTGTTTGGTACTTCCTGTAGAAGTCTCCTTGTATTGTTTGTTGTTTTCGATTAGCTGTATTTCGGTATTCGACATTTATATACTTGTATTTTGTATGGAAGTATCCTCTGGTTCTATAACGTTTATCATTCGACCCCAAGCTTTCCCTTCAACATTTGGTCATTGCAATAATTTGTAATGCGGTTAAATATTTGATGTGGATTTTTTATTGGTTAAATGTTCGAATGAGGGTCCAAATTTTTAAGCTATTGTTTGGGTAAGAATTTTTTTATTTACTATTTTTTTTAAAGTAATACTAGGATATATTCATTTATCGAAAGTTGCATCAATAATGTCTTGACAATTACATACTGAAAAAATACAGTCAAAGCTATCATAAGTAAAATATAACAATGATCGTCTAGTAATAGTTTGATAAGTAAAAACATAAATAAGTGAAGTAACAACGTATATAAATGTATCGCACTAACATTATTGAGCATCAAACATGGAGGGGAAAAACTTGAAGAAGAGTCAAAACATTCAAAGGAAAAAGTGATCTCTCCTTTAATGGCAATCTCATTTGGCACATATTTTTGATAACCAGCGGATCGTCTTGTAACGTATAAAATTATTATTAAACTATGTTAAACTAAAATTGAAAAACTAGTAAAAGTAGAAAGAATCAACAGAATAAAACGTTGGTTAACCAGCGGACAAGGAAGGATAACTACTGCAGAGAAAAGTTGGATAAATTATTCAAGTTTGATATAAAGATTTAAGGCTTTTGAATTTACTCAAATAAAGTTCTAAATTTTTTAAAACAATATAGTGAGTGCACAGGTTAACTTAAATGAGGATCTAATGTTTTTTAGAACATGTTTCTCTTTATTCAAACCTTATTTTTCCTTCATGTCTCTGTTGTTATTGGTATCTGACACTCGTATTTGAACCATTTGCGAACATGGGTACCGAGCATATATGAACACGAGTATTGCTGTCCGACACTTGTATCAGAACCGTATGCGAACATGAGCATTGCTTTCCGACGCTCAGATCCGAACGAACATGAGTATTTCTGTTCGACGCTCATATCCGATTCATATTCAAACTTGGGTATTGCTGACTTGAGATCCGATGCATATCACAGTGAATAATATCATCTCTGCATTTTCACAAAACTCGGTTCTATACAAATTACTGAACTTCAAGGAATTTACTCAACTTATTGAAGAAAGTAGAGAGGTTGTTAAAGAACCAACAACTAACATGCTATATTCTCGAGAGAGAAAAATGCGCGCACTAATAGCCTGAACCAGAAGAAACGAAAACCGGTATCTGAAACACTATGCAGAGAACTATTCAAGCTCCAGGATAGCGTGATCGTCCTTTCTTCTTCAGGAACTCAGGGATGTCGAATGAACTGCCTTTGTTGAAAGAAGGTCGTCGATTGATTCCAAGGTCGGTATCTCCCTGCGCTACCTGGCCTGCCTGCATTTTCAACTGGAGTTCAGTATATATTGGCATACGAAAGAGAGATGAAGAAAGAGAGTTGAGGCATACCTGAACGGGCCTTCCTTCGCTTTCTTCTTGACGTTTAAATCCCGTTGCGATTAAGGTTATACTTACCTAAATAAAGACCCAAAAATAATGTCATCAAATTAATGTGTTTCATATTGCGAACCGTGAATTTTGCAGTACACTAACAACAGCGAAGACCAGTACATGGATATGGAGGTATGATTAACATATAAGTGTATCCATCCGACACTCCCGACCCGGGAGACTTTAAAAATCAACTCAACAGCTGTTCTAACTGTCCATGAGAATTCTGCATCTAAATTTCAATCTCATAGGATATGGCTGAGACACTTATCTTGTAAATACAAAACGGATACAGGAGAACCATATCCTGATGTAAGTGCAAAGGCATCTCTAATCGGTCCGATATGTAGCCACGATAGTAAAGTTCATTTATAAGCCCATCTATTGCAAGTATTAATCCTACGTTTCAGAATGTTCGATTCATATAATGTTGTCATATATGCTAGCTTAAAACTACAGTAAGCAGGCCTACTCAAAATATGTTGATCGAGAGAGGCATTCGGATAACCATTTGCGAGTCTTGAATTTAGCACGAGTACGAAACAGACAAAGTTAGATTACTTGGCCAGTAAGTGATGGATCGATCACTGCTCCAAATATCAAATTGGCAGTTGGATCCACTAGATCATATATAACCTCGGCTGCTGTATTAACCTACAGAAAATTATCAGATATCAAATCATGCATGTTTGAAACAACCAAAACATTCAAGATAATCAAGGTCAGCATTGTATAACTGCTCGGGCTTCAATAACTTATCGGGAAGGGCTCCACTTACATATAACCAACAATTTTGCACTCAAATTCGAGATTATATATATATGAAGTCAAAATCTCCCCTCCCAATCCGCGACAAAATACACAGAGTTAAGAGATGGAGTGGTACCTCGAACAAGGTTAAATCACTTCCACCAGTTATGTTCCACACAATACCGGTAGCTCTTTCTATACCAAGATCTAACAGAGGTGATTGGATAGCATTTAGTGCAGCATCTCTAGCCCGTGTTTTCCCTGCAAACCAGAAACAAACAATTACAATAGAATAACCAGTTCGGAAATGAGTTGTCAACTTGTAAATTATCATTTTATAAACCAAGACATCTTGATGAAAAGAGATCAAATGCCATACGACATGTAAAAATATGCTTGTTTCAAGATAAAACACCAAAAACTATTGCCAAAAATAGGAAATAGAAAAGAAATTAGACAAACTGCAGTCGCTTCAATTTCAATCGGTGACGAAAAATAAAATAAAAACTGAGGTATGAACTTTATGCATTCAAAGTCTAAGCCTTGAATAACGATCTCTTTGATTACCAGTTGCAGTTCCGATCCCCATCAGTGAAGAACCTGCATTTGCCATTATAGTTCGCACATCTGCAAAATCCACATTGACTAGCCCAGGAATCTGCAATGAGGAAACACACAACCGAATTAGAGTGCAGAAGTATGGTGCAAACCCTGAAGCCAACAATGCTTCGAGGTTTTAACTGCCCAAAACATTACACGAATGAACATGCTTGATAACGGATCATAGATTTAGCAGCACCGATCAGTATGACCAAAATTATTATTTATCAGAAAATGGTGCAAGATAATTCATCAAAAAGTGCAGCCCACAAGTATTATAAGGGTAAAGAGTATTACCCGTTTTACCACCCAAAGCCTAAGAATACAAGTATCTTGGAGCATTCCATAATCCATACCGTTATTATATCGGAGATACCACGAACACCTTGACGAAGAATATCATCAGCCAGATTAAAGGCTTCAGTTACTGGAGTAGATGGGGAAACTGCAGTCAACAACTTGTCATTTGGGATAACAATTAGCGTATCAACATTTTCTCTCAGAGCTGCAATTCCTTCCTGCGCTTGAACAGCCCTCCTCCTTCCCTCAAAAGAAAAAGGGGTAGTGACAATACCGATAGTCAATATACCCATGGACTTTGCAACCCCTGCAATTACTGGAGCTCCACCAGTTCCAGTCCCTCCACCCATTCCAGCCTGTAAATGCAAGCTCGAAGTCCTAGGTAAAAATATTAAAGAAAGATACTAGAAGACAAAAGAAAGATAAGATCTTAAGTGCTCATCCTAATTCTTAACTCGGAAAACATCAATCTATGAGAATGCCACATGCAATCGTACCAGAACAAAAGGTTTCACCCATGGCAATTTCGAGAATAAAAGCAACAGGAGCAAGAATGAATCAGGAGTTAGATTAGTGTTCATGAACCATCAAATTACAAGAGAAATCAAACTCTACGAAACAGTATGATCAGATATAACGATGTTTAGCATGTAGCAACAAGTTTGCGATTGCAAACATATGGCATGACTTTTACAACTCGTTGCTAAAGACTTTGCACATAACTCATTAACCATTCAGTTGAATGTAAAAGTTTCATGAAACATGAAATCATGTATTCAGACAAGTCGAATTTATCATGACCAATGTCCAATGAATATTCACTATAATAGGAAGCTTGAAAGATTTTCTTTGACAGATATTCCAAAAAGAAAAACAAAACCCAGAGATAATTGAGGCTGAAATCACTCATGAAATCAGTGTAGTAACGGTACGTGTCATAATCGAAATTCTACCTAAATGATCTAGGATGGGAACTTACAGTAACAAAAACCATATCAGCACCATAAAGAGCCCCTTCTATTGACTCCTTGCTTTCTTTGGCAGCATTCATCCCAATCTCCGGGTTTCCACCCGCACCAAGACCCCGAGTCAGCTCCTGACCAATTTGCAAACGATTTCCGGGAAAGACAGGTGACAGTTTCAGGGCTTGAACATCAGTGTTAACAATCCAGAACTCGACACCCTTCAATGCACTCTCTATCATGCGGTTAACAGCATTTGACCCACCACCTCCAACGCCAATGACTTTGATCTTGGCTTCATTGTAATTACTTGAACCAGACACATCTTCTAAGCTCTCGGGACTAGAGCTATCCTTTCCCGGGTTGGTGATTATAGGGTTCCCTTCACCCCTAAGCATTGAAACTTCCGGGTGCATATTCAGAAAAGGGTCCTTATTTTGATACGGACTGACACTTTTGGAGTTGGATGAACATCTAAAATGAGCCATGGTAGACCTTTGGCTCGAACTCGAAGACCCACTTTTCCCATCGCACATTTTAAGGCAGCTAAGTTTCCCTAAAGGATTCTCCTTTAACACCCTCCCTCCAAGAACATTAAGTACCCCCATTGATCTAGCATCTGCAGGCCTAAAATACGGCGATATCGATATAGCATTCGCCATTTTACCACCAGAACTAAGAAATCAGATTTTACTTCAGCTATGACACGAAATA